GAGACCTTCCGCCGCTCGGGCTCGCTCAGGATTACCGACAGAGCCCGTTCGACGGGCCCCGACGCTCTCATGCCGCGCAAGTGGTTCGACGAAGTCGCGGACGCCCTGCTAGGGAACCCCCTCGGCCCCTCGCTAGAGAGCGCCGTACACACGTTGAAGGCACTCGAGCTTGGGCCCAATAAGTCTCACTCCACGCTCAGACGCGCACAGATGCCCGCAGAGGCCTTTCGCCTGGATGCGACGGGGGGGGTCGACTATGTTGACGTCACTGCCCCCGCGCGAGAGACGGATCTTCCGGACCTGTGCCTGGCTTCCCTGACTGCAAAGCCGGTTCTGAACGCTGCCAGTTTCGATGCCCTGCAAGCTGTCGATTCGCCCCAGCGCCCGGTTCCGGAAGATGTCCTTTTTCCTGACCTTGACGCAGAAGAAAAACCACTGGAAGTGAACATCCCTGTTGAAGCCAAGGAAAAGCCGGACAGGCCCCTCATGGATATGGAGATCGACAGCGTTGTCAAAGACTTGGAGCAAACCCAAACACAACCTTTGGGTGAGATCGACGTTGTCATGGTCTCGCCACTGAAACAGACGCATATTGATCCCAATCTCATAGCTCTATCGCCGCAGCCATCACCACTCAAGTCTGATACCCTACAACCTGATCTAGGGAAGGCCATGGACGGGGTCTGGGCAACACATGCGCTGACTGGAAGCAAAGGCACGCAAGCTCTTTTGTCTTTGGTAGGCCGTACCCAACAGGGAAAGGTCTCTGTTGGTGTCGAAATCGCTTTTCAAGATTCGCCAAAGACGCATGTCACCGAAGGCAATGCGAGTGTGACGGCAGCGGAAGTGGTTCAAATAAATGACCTCCCATCAATTGATTTGCGAACTGAAACACCAGATCCGGAAGCTGGCTATTCTGTGCGAAGGGATGGACCGACTGGCATGTTAAATGAGTTGCTACAAGAACTACACACCGGCGAACTTACACCGAATCGCGTGCACAGTCGCAAGTCTAGGACAGAAGTTGTTGTCGTGGATGGTGATAATGGGCCGGATGGTGAGATCGAGGCAATTCCGTCTTCTTCCAAACGCCCTCGAAAGCGTCGAAGTGTCTCGTTTGCGAGGAGCGACAGAAAGCAAATGGAAGAGCGGAAGGCCAAGTTTGTGTCTACTGTGGTTCAGACGATGCAGGAAGACCCTGCTATCGTGAAGAAGCGACAATTGCGGGCAGCCTTGTCGCCCATGAACGGCCATCGCACGACTAGCCGCAAGAGTGAAGACAGAGAAGCACGACGAAGCACCCGAAGGAGAAAGAGCGTATCACTGGTCGAGTCTTCAGACGAAGACGCATCACCAAATGACAAAAGCGAAGATGTTCCGATTGACATTGACGAGGACGATGACGGTTTAGGCGTTACTCCAGACTCTCCTGATCCTTCTCCCGGGACACGAATGCAGGTTGACATTCAGGCTCCCTTGCGACGGATGGCCAGAAAGGCACGTTCTGCCAATACGCTCGATTCTCCTCAACCGTTGATCAGAACCGGGACACAACGCACAAAGGCACTAGATGTCTCTGGCGCAGAGCCCGTCTCAAAGAAGTTGCGGTCGTCGACGAAAGGAAATTTTGTCAGCTTGTGGGATAAGAGATTGGAACGTCTCGAAGATGCAATTGCCGCGAATGAGACCGGATCGCCATCGCTCTCTGACGTAGAGGCGGACATTGAAGAGACGATGCTTTTCGAGATCATTCCCACCCTTGAAAAGATTATGGACGCAGTTCGCGATGGGGAGATGGGTCTTCTGGAATGTGATCAGTACTCGCAGCAGAACGCCGTCATACAAGCATATAAGAACACAAAGGATGACGCCCCGTACGCACCGACAGCGAAGTCGCCAGGTACCCAATTTTATCTAGACGTTTGGAAGGACAGACGCGCTCGAAAGGAACGAAAGCTTTCCGTGCCAAAGATTGACGATGGAGGGGCACAAGGCTTTGCTACGAATAATCCGAATGGAGGCACTTTTGCAAATGGTGGTACTAGCGGAGAAGATCGCAGCCCCACGGCGTCACAGCATACTGGAGAGAACTCTGTGCGTTCTGATTCTTCGGGCGGAAAGGTTGGCGAGGATGACGCACAGAAGGCGGCAAGGCTAGAAAGAGAAGAAGCGTCAGAACGCGCGAGGGAATTGCAGTCACGGGTGTGCGGTAAATTGCTGGAAAGTATGTCTGCAGAGGCGAAGGTGCGTGTTTTGCGATGGGCTGAGGCAGACTGTTCGTGGTTTGATGATGGGACGGACATGATGGAAATAGTGGCGAGTAGGGTGGTGAAGACATGCGCTCAGTGCGATGAACGAGATGGCAACTACAACGAGAAATGTGAAGAATCGATTCTTCTCAAGCTGTGGGCAAACATGACCTGGCGCAAGATTCGACGCATGAGACATAGGGATCGTGGTGCCAGCAACTGAAAGGGAGATTTGTAAATTGGGTGGGGCGGAGTGTAGGCTATAGAAACGTGTAAGTTCTACTTGACCAAAAAAGAGCAGTGCCTCGACTTAGTGCGAGATGAGCTGCACTGCAAGGGAACTGGAAACCAAAAAAAGTTAAGGTGGCTTAAGAGTGTGTGGCCCAGGTGGTCCAATCGTTGAGCTGTTGGTCGAGTCCATCTCTGATGGCGTGCGTAAGAGTTGCCTCCAGGGCCGGCTTGCAAGCGTTTTTCACCATTGGGGCAACGGCGTTGTACAACCACGACAGGCGGGCATCCGCCGCTCGAAACGAGATGGCGCCTGCAATATTACAAGTACAGTTGGAAACGGAGAGCGAACCCGTAGGCTCGTCCATCGTTAAAAGCACGTCAGCATTGACGCCGGTAAAGTCAAAGTGGGCACGGCCCGCGTCCCTGATCGGCGGGAGTCGCAGGCGGTAAGCCCACTGCTCGACATCGACGGCGATGGCGACATCCGTGGCGACGACATGGATCTGCCTTGCCTCCGTGACGGACACGGCGACGTGGTGCGGCTGCAGGCGGATAGCGTCCAGCACGAGGCCGGCCAGCGAGTACTTGACGCGGTCGGTCTCGGCGCACAGGTCCGGGAAGCGCAGGCCGGCGAGGTGGGCCTTCAAGGCCGGGATGGCGATGTCCTTGATGTTAGCGATGAGGCTGTTGGCGGACTCGGCGTCCGCGAGGTTAAGGCCGTGCGGCTGCAGGTCGTGTCGGAAGGGGGCCGAAGCATGGTGGATGTCGGCCTCGGGTAAGGTGAGGATGTAGTTGCAGGCGCGGTGCACGTCGCCCGCATGGGCCGCCAGGATGTGCTCCAGGTACGGGGCGGAGAGGGCCGGGCGATGGGCGAAGATGGCGACGAGGGTGTCCAGATCCGTCGACGGCATGGCTTGGGGAGAAGGTGTTAGTGAGGGGGAGGCATGATCGAGGTCAAGAGGAGAGGAGCAAGGGCGGGGAGATGAAAGGCGTAGCTTTACACGATGGCGAGGTACGGCACGCACTCTGGATGGGAAGAAGACCTCCATCCACGTCTACTCTGCGACACGGTGCTCCTCCTGTGCTCCGCCTGTGGTGCTCTTGTGGTGCTGATTCGAATTCGATTTACAGCGCTGACATAACTGCGCAGTTGTGCAGTACTGTAAGTCGAACATGTACGGTAATTAAAACGCTCAGTCAATGTATAATTGTTTTCCTTGTAATGTATTTGCGTTCTTGTTTGCGCTACAGTAACGTGTACACGTGTACCTTGTCCACCCTGATCGCACTACTGCGTGCCGCGGCTCCTCCCCCAGACGACGACCGACACCGACTCCCGCGCACTACGCATCACCGGTATTGTTTTCGAACCCCCCCCCCCCGTCTTCCGCGCCATCTTGCATCTGACCTCCCCGCACCCACGTGATACCGAAACGCTTCACTTCACTGCAACCATCGCCCCGTGCACCCGAAACGGCAAATATGGCGCAGCTTCCCGAGTCGGCCGCGGCGCTGGACAAAGAAGTCATGGAGCTTTTGCAATCGCACCGCTACGATCCGACCATCCTGCCGCGCCTTGAAGAGTTTGTCAACTGCCAAGTCACGCACAACTTCTGCGACCCGGAGACGAACCTAGCGGTGCTCAAGCTGTACCAATTCCACCCGGAAACCTACAACGCCTCCACCGTGTCCAAGATCCTCATCAAGGCCCTGATGAACCTGCCGACGTCCGACTTCCTCTGCTCGCTCTACCTAATCCCGGAGCGCCGCCAGATCGACGAGCCGATCCCGGTCATCTCGCACCTGGCCCAGCTGCTGGAGACGGGGCGCTTCACGGACTTCTGGGCCGCCTCCGGTTCGTGCGCCCAGCTGCTCGCCTCCGTCCCGGGCTCGCTCGACGCCGTCAGGGACTTCATGATGGACGTCGTGTCGAGGACGTACAAGAGTATCGACGTCCCCATCCTCGCCGAGATCCTCAACCTCGACGAGCCGGGCGTCGTCGCCGCGGCAAACGCCCGCGGCTGGAATCTCGCAAACGGTACCGTCACCTGCCCCAGCACAGAGGAGAACCAACCACGCCCGCCGACGCTTGATGAGCATCTCAGCTTCCGACAAGTCGCGTCGAAGATGCTGTAGCTGTACCCCCCTGCAATGTATATATATAGTAAACGCGATTTGCGAGCATGTCGTATGGCATCACTGCGATGGATTCAGTCAGCTTTCTACGTTTACAATTGTTCTGCATGTAGGCCTGAAACGTAAAGTCGCTCCTCCTTGCCAATCATCCTGTCTCTACTGTGATCCTTATCTCTACTGTGATACGCACAACCACACATATACAAATCATTCATTGCACTACACACTTGTCCGCGCTTCTCCTCGCCATCCGTCCCGACGCCTGCACCGGCCGTTGCGCCGCGGTCGATACATTGGCATGCCCGTGCGGCGCCTGCCGCGCAAGCGGGGGCGTCCGCCCCCACGCGCCCACACCCGCCCCCACCGGTGGCGTTTGCGAAGGATATCTCCCTAGGGACTGTGACGGCGGTGCCGGGGCCGGGGCCGTGGCCGGGGCCGCTGGCGCCGCCGGCGTTCTGGGCGACGCAGCCCCTACGACCTCGCCAGTTGGAGATATCCGCTGGAACTTTCCGTTGTAAAACGTGGAGTCACCGTTAATATCGGCGAGCTTCTCCCATACGGTATTGAGCTCGTCCAGATACCCCTCGTCAGTGACCAGCGTATAGAGCTCGCTCTGGTGCTTGTGCACGACGTAAAAGTGTGAGTTGCGGAACAAAATGGCGCGACCGCCCTCTGCGATAGCGGCGTGGAGCTCTGTGAGGCCGTACACGGTGAGATGCGTGGGGTTGCTTTCCAGAAAGTCCATGACAAACGGGCGCATCTCCCTAATGCGCAGTGTGTGTAGCGGCTCCTGCTCCGGCGGCGGCGGCATCGGCTCCGGCGCGGGAGGGTCGGGCGGGGCCTCGTTTACGTATGGCCCGTCGAAAGCGTCGTCCGGGTGGCCGTGAGCGAAGAGGTCGAAGGCCTCGATGGGCGGCGCAGACGGAGCGTGCACGAGGGCGTCATACCTCGGCTCCGGCGCGAGCGCTTCTGGCGGCAGCGGCGGCGGCGGCGACGCCGTGCGGACCAGCTCGTCGACCAGCTGGTTGTACGACAGGGCCGCGAGGGCCTCCGCCAGGCGAGTGTCCTGCGGGTCGACCAGCCAGCCGTGCAGCAAGCGGGCGTCGGGGAAGACGTCGAAGACGGCCAGCTCGCGGGTGAACTCGAAGGCCGAGGGCGCCGTAAAGCGGACGTTGACGTGCAGGCCCGCGGCCAGCCGCGGCAGCACGTCCAGGAAGTCCGCGACGGCGTGCTCGCGCAGCTTATCGGCCGTCGCCGAGCCGGATGGCGGGCGGGTCGACACGAAGTCGGCGAGCATGTCCATGAGTTGGTCCTCGCGTATGCGCGTGGTGCCCGGCTGTAGCGAGAAGGCGCGCGATTGCAGGTGCAGGTTGACGAGCGCGAGAAGTGCGCACGGGCCGTTGCGTGCTTGCATGCACACTGGCAGGCTGGCGTCGCGCCCGTCGAGCACCCATTTCACCGGATAGAAGACGGGGTCGGCGGGGGGCGGCGCGGCGCGAGACATTGGGAAGGGGTTGAGGTGGAGGGAAGACGGGGGAAGGGGAAGGTTTTGGCAAGGAGTAAGTGTTTGTTTGGGGAAGGTGCAATCTAAGGGAACTAGATTGTCCAGCAATGCGTGTGGCAACGAGGTGCAACCGGGCTGCCCGAGCGGGCGTAGAAAACATGAACAGGAGTCCGGTCGGCCGCAATTTCTCTGCTCTTCTTCTGCCTCTGCTACCCACGGCAACGAGGCTCCGACACGGGCACTGCTCCTCACAACATCGCCATTGCCACCTAACTTCCCGCCCTCGCCGGAGCACTCGTGACCTCGCACTTGCATCCCATTCCCCCAACGTCACGGCCTCATCCGCTGCAGCAGCGCCTGCAAGACCACTGCACAGCCGTCCACGCCGCCGCGCATTCTGCCCACGTCCACGTCCCACCCATGCATCTCGGCCGCCATCCGCGCGCCGACCCTCGCTGCCTCACGCTTCTCCCTCTTGCGCCCGCCGCCCGCGACGCCCGCGCTCGCGGCGCCCACTCCCAGCTTGGCAAACTTGGCCTTCTCCTCAACCTGCAGGTCGTCGAGCGGCCGCCCCAACTCCCCGTCCTCGCGCCAGCTGCCGGCCCCGCCCTCCTGCACCACGAGCGCCCCGTGCCGGTTCACCATCTGCATCAGCTTGAGCTCTGAGCTCACGGGCATCCTGCGCCCACGCTGCCGTTTCATCGACCGCGGCGCGTCGCCGCCGACGACGTGCCCCTCCAGCACGTGCGCAGTCCGGTGGTCGTCGAACCGCCCCAGGTCCAGGCTCCGCGCTAGCCCCTTGACCTGCTCCTCGCGATCGCGCTTCTCCATCTCGCCCTCGCCCGCTTGGAACGGCGCAAACATCCCATCCGCCTCTGCCGTCAGGATAGTCTCTAGCTTGGACAGCCTCCCCCCCGGTCCACTGCCCCTCTTCCTACCCGCGAGCGACGACTGCCGAAACGTCTCCCAGAACTTCGCCTCCTCCATCTCGGCGGGCACCTTGGCGGCGAGCGCGCGTGCGACGCTGGGGTGCTGCATGAAGACGCGGTGGCGCTCGGCTGCGCTGGGCACAGGCGCGGCCCACGCGGCCGCGTCCGGGACGCCGCCGCTGGTGCCGCTTGCAAACGCGTCCGACGGCACCCCGCGCTGGCCGGCGCGCTGCATCATCTCCTCCTCCTCGTCCACGTCCGGCCCCGCCCCGCGCGCGCGCCGCTCCCCTTTCGCCGTGTACCGGTAGTTCATCGCCCGCCAGAACTCCTCGTCGCGCACTGCCCCGCTCCGCACCAGCTTCGCGTGCAGTTTCACCACCTCCTTGCGCTGCAGCAGCCGCGCGCGACGGGCGCGCTCCTCGGCGGACACTGGCGCCACCGTCGGGGGTGGTGCACGGTGTGGCGAGCTGCGCTCGCCGCTGCTACCCCCGGATGACGCACCGTTCGAAGGGGGCGCGGCCACCGCGGGCCCACCTTGCGATTGCAAACGGTTCAGCACGTCCCGGATCGCGTCCCGGTCCGTGAAGTTCTTGCTGAAGTCCAGCGTGATCTTGTTGTCCCGGTCGCTGCACGTCAGGCGGATCATCGCCTTTTTTCCGGGAAACGTAGGCGGATAAAGTTAGCACGTTTGACTTGCACTAGTTGGTGACGCGGTTTCGGATGAATTGCGGCGACATACCTTTTTCGCAGACCCTTCCTTGGACACCTGAAACTGTCGAATACTTGTAAACGCGACGCGAATCTCATTACCAAACTGCGCAAACGAAAACCCATGAATGCAGTGATACAATGTGAGATACGCGAGTTGTCAGACGGCACGGCCGATCACTTTTGCACAACTGGAAAAAACAGAATAGCATACCGCAGCGCTGTCGGGCGTCCAGAGCATGTGTGTATTCGTCAGCTGGACGATTCCCGGCTTCTTTTCATATGAGCATCGACGCTCGATTTGAAAATCGCTCGACATGTTTCCTTCAAGAAGTCGAAACGAATCGTCTGGCGTTGGTCCAGTAATTCAAGCAAAACCGCCAGTTCCAAAGTAATGCCAACTAAGAAAATCTTCCACAGGTATGCTTTCGTTGCGTACAGCGGCAAGCGGCAAAGCAAAACAAACTCTTGGACACTTACTTGCCTTCCTCGCCAGACCGGGGGAATGTGGAAGGCGATGACGAAGAGGGAGCAAGTGTGAGCTGTGAGAGGCATCTTCTCTTGATGCTCCCCCCTACATTACAGTTGTGCGCGGATCAAATGGGCATTACAGAGGGCTATGAAGCGTTCACCCGCCGCCCGTTACGCGCCCCCGCTCACCGCCTTCCTCGCCTTCCCCTTCCTCCGCCTTTCCCCCCCCCCCCTCCCTCCCCCACCATGCGGAGCAGCCCCACCCCGCGTGTCAACGCGCCGCCATCATGTCGACGGCCAAGACCATCCTCG